TAAAAATTTTATTAAACCTTTGTCCAATCCTGCGCACATTTTACAGAAAATATTGTTAATCTAATTCGAGAAATACTTATTAGTTATTAAATTGTGAAAGATTTTTGAAATTTTTGAAATGCATGTCACTGACATGCACCAAAATAAAAGTTCCCATTTTCCCTAGAGTTTCACTGCTAATACTATCAGACTAGCTGTCTTATTTTTAAGCATAAATTCCATGTTGGAAAGAGGAACTTTATATTCAAAAAATGTAATCAATCACTAAAAGTTTTCATATATTAAGTATATGGGCTGGGTGCGGTGACTCAAAGCTGTAATTCCAGCACTTTGGGAGGCCAAGGCTGGTGGATCACTTGAGCCCAGGAGTTCAAGACCAGCCTGGGCAACATGGTGAAATCCTATCTCTACAGAAAAATACAAATATATACATATATTTATATATATATATATATAGAGAGAGAGAGAGAGAGAGACAGAGACAGAGAGAGACAGACAGGGTCTTGCTCTGTCACCAAGGCTGGTGTATAGTGGTACGATCTCAGTTCACTGCAGTCTCAACCTCCCAGGCTCAAGCCATCCTCCCACCTCTCAACCTCCCAAGTACCTGGAGTGGATGAGACTACAGGTGTGTGCCACCACGCCCAGATAATTTTTGCATTTTTTGTATAGATGTGGTTTCACCATGTTGCCCAAGGTGGTCTCGAACTCCTGGGCTCAAGTGATCCACCAGCCTTGGCCTCCCAAAGTGCTAGAATTACAGCTGTGAGCCACCACGCCAAGTCCATATGCTCAATATATGAAAACTTTTAGTGATTGATTACATTATTTGAATATAAAGCTTCTCTTTCTAACATGCAATTTATGCTTAAAAATAAGACAGCCGGTCTGATTCCTAAAAATTTGATCTTAATTTTCTCAACAAATGCCAAAAGTCATCTCAGTCAAAGTTAATGAAAGGTAAAATGAGTACTATACAAAGGACATCAGGTGTCCACAGATTGGGCTGCGAAGAATCAAATTATTATGTTTGAAAGTTTTGGTTACTTCTGTTGCTGCAGTTGGTAGGCTTTCCTTCTAAAATGCTGCCATGAATATAACATCAGGCCAGTTGACCCAGTTCTCTTCTCCTCCTTCTCCTTCTCCTCCTCCTCCCCCTCCCCCTTCCTCACCCCATCCCTCTTTCCCTCCTCCTTCCCCCCTCCCTTTCCCTCTCCTCCTCCTCCTTCTTCCAGCAAATATCAAATTTGGAGAGACAATCTGGTAGGTTTAGCTGGGTAAGGGATCTGTCTACCTCTAGCTTGGTCACCTGTGGTTGGAGGGTCAGGGTGTTGTAGTACTGACAGGACCACTGGAGCTTCACACCTCCATTTTAAAGGTCATTCCAGGAGAAGGGAGCAACCCTCCCAAAGGTGTTCATTACACTCTTAATGGTTGTGTGTCTTAATGTGACAAAAGCAGAAGAGCATCTCTATCTTTTCTTAGCTCTTGTGATCTCCATCCAGTTGGAGGAGAAAATGTCCTATCCCTTATTACCATGCTCTATGTCAGCTCCCATAAGAAAAGGAAACTGACATCTAAGCCAGTAGAGGGAGACATTCCACAAGAGATGGCGTCATCTCCTATTTCTTCCCCACCATATGCGTTCCCACTAAAGATGAGTAACCAATTGCAGGTGCCGCCACTGCACTGGTTTCAGGCTTGCCCCAAGAGCTCTGGTCTAGCCTGGCCTACAACTCTTCAGTGTTAATTTCCCTTTGGATAGTGGTTCTCAAACTGTTTTTCAAGGTAACACAAGGAAAATACGTACAGAGACTAACAACTTATGACAGTACTTCAAAACCTATGCCTATTTAGACAACGAGAATCAGTATTCCTTTTAGTCATTCATCAATTTGTATATTCATGAATTTGCTCAACCAGTATTTATTGAACACTGGCTATGTGCCAGGTGCATGATATAAACTGTATAGTCATTCAAACCAAGTTTCAAGTCTAAAAGCCCTTTTCCTTGGAAGTTCCTTTCCTCCTGAAGGAAGTTAAGTCCTTAAGTTACCAGTCCCAAAGCCTCACCTCCCCCAATCTTAGGCTCAACACTAATTATTGTAAGTTGTTTTCATTTTCTGTCTTTACTTTTAGACTTAAGTCTTCGCTAAGGTCTCCCGGGCCCCTAGCAAACTACCTGCTATGAAGTAGATGCTCTGTAAATAGTTGTTAAGCCCAAATTGCCTTGTGCTATGAAGATTGCGCTATGAAGCCTGACATGAGTTGTAAAAGTATCAACAAGTATATTGACAATTGGTATCGGCAAGTCTTTGCCCTTCGAGCCAGAGAGCTGCTGGGCAGGACAGATTATCTCTGTTTTCTCTGTCACTGATTTACTACTCTTAACTTATGTAACGACATCAGCTAATATGAAGAACACTGCACTAGTGACCTCAAAATAACTGAACAAATAGTACTCCCTTTCCCCTCCACCAATGGCATCAACATTCTAAAAAAATTTAAGCATCTTAGTAAGCAGTGTCTCTGCAAATATATTTCTTCCCTGAAAACATGATCATCTACTTTGTAATATTAGGCAATTTAGAGTGGTAGTGTAACTGTATATAACTCTACAGAAAAAAAGACGTATCTAACAAGAACTAGAATTAAAGAAACTCATTATCACTGCATTGCACATGCCTCACACAGACATGAATGCCTATACCCGTGTATGAGGGTAAAAAGATAAGTGAAAGTAAGGGCTATGAGTGAGTGTGTCAGCCTGATATATTATAGTTCCAAGATGACAGGCTGGCCAAATACTCCAAAAGAACAAACAAACGAAAAGCAGGTAGAGGTAAATTTTTATAATGTTTATATACTGTTGGGCAATATGATATAATGGGCACAGAGTATGGACTGTAGAGTCAGACAGACATGGGTCAAGTCCTCATACCAGTGCCTACTACCTGTACACTCTGGGGTAGTTTACTTAACCTCTCTGAATCTGTTTCATCATCTGTAGAACATAGTGGTTTCAAGAATTAAATACGGTAAATGACTACCCTAATTTGGCATCTGAGGCATGTACCAATGACGCCTAGTTCACTCATTCATCCTGTAATTATGTATTGAAAGCCTACTATGTCTGTCTTGCTCACCAATGCATTCCCAGCCCCTACCACACTACCTGTCACTGAGGAGACTCTCAAGAACTATTTGTAAGATGAATGTTAAGTCTGTGCTGTTATGGTGCATGCATGCTAGATTTCTTCCATCCTCCTTCTGACCATGGGAAGAATGCCAGTCAGAGTAGAACAAAGTAGGAAAGTAAAGGAACTACTCCACTTTAGTGTTGATCAAGAGTCTATAATATACTAGAAAAAACTTTACAAATTTACAGACTTCTGAAAGTTAAATGATGATTATACTGTTAGTTGATCAAACATCAGTCATTGAAAATGTACTAATATGTAACCTCAAAAGAAAAAAAAATGGTTATAGTTTTCTTAAAAGATAATTCTTTTTAAATCAGTGTGAATGTGTACATCACTAAAGTAAAATCCTGTCCAGATTATTAAAATAAACTTTGTTATCAGTTATATTTTCATGGGAAATATTCCTGCATATGTTTTAACTAATATCCACATACATATTTGCTTTTTCTGCCAGGTCATTTATCCCTTTAAGAAACATTAAAACTAAACACATAACTCTCAAAATATATTATTTACTCAATGCTAATAAAGGGAACACACATTTGGAAAGACTCAAGTGAATATTTTTTCTTAATTTAAGCTGAGTACTTTGTCTCTATTAAGCTAAGTTAAAAGAATTTGGGAGGACAACATATGCTACCAAGAGAAGAATTTGTTTCTAGGAATCTGAGTTAAAAGAATTTGGGAATGCACTATCTGCTACCTAGAGAAGAAAGAAGTGTAATGGGTCACACCATTCTCAAGACTCTGTTTCAAAGCATTGTTTCAGTACTTTGCTGATCCAAACCCTGATAACCTGCTATCTTTTTAATTAAATAAATTTTAGATTTAATGAGAATGTTTCACTTTCCATACAAAAAGCAGAAAAATGCTTTGAATCAATGCACTTACTGAGATTTGGATTACTGACTGGTGTTCCTATTGATTCTTGTGGGAGTTATTAATCCTGATTGCAACACACAAGTGAACAGACAAGAGAGATAAATGTTGTGGCTTATGGGAAATGAAGGAAAATGGGCCTCATTTAGCCTGTGAGCATACTAATTGAAATAGATGTATGAAGACTTCGCTGATGTTAAAATGACATTGTTTTTATAAATACTGGAATATAAACTATATAATAATAAAATAGAATGTTAAAGATGTATTTAATCATCATCATAATTTTGATTCAGAAATCTATAATTTATCAGTTATCTTAATAATGTTTAGAATTTGCTGAACATTTTACCTTATGTGAATTAAGGACAAAATATAAATGTTCAGAGCAAAAAAAAAAGTCTTTCTGATGTTTGTCCTTCATAGAATAGGATATGAGTTTGTTATTTTATTATTTTGATTAATGTCTAAAACAAAAGATAAACACATTATGATATAACATTACTCTTGATTTTAATGATCCCTTTTGAAATAGAATTATGTGATTGTCACTAAACATAAGCATTTATGGTATATCATTAATGAGTCACTATTTTAGTGGTTGCTTTGTGAGTAGGTCAAATTTACTAAGCTTAGATTTGTTTTCTCACATATTCTTTGTGAGCTTGTACAGTTTCCACATTAATTTACCAGAAATAAGATACACATCTCTCTTTTAGGAATGCCCTAACTTCCCATCATTTTGTCCAATTAAATGGATTGAAGATACTTAATGTTTCTAAGCTAGACCGACAGAGAATAATAGTTGTATGACAAGTAAATAAGTTTTGCTGGGAAGATGTTGCTTAAGTGATAAAATGGTTCAGCCAACAAGTGAACCAAAAATTAACTATTAACTAAGGAAAGGTAACCATTTCTAAAGTCACTCCTAGCAGAGTACCCAGATATATATAGGATTGAAGATCTCTCAGGTAAGTCTACATGAAAAGGATGGTTTCTTGGAGCTTCCACAAATTTAAAACCATGAAACATCTATTATTGCTACTATTGTGTGTTTTTCTAGTTAAGTCCCAAGGTGTCAACGGCAATGAGGAGGTGAATTTTTTAAAGCATTATTATATTATTAGTAGTAGTATTAATATAAGATGTAGCATAATCATATTATGTGAATAGTTATTTCAATGAAATTAGCATTGCTTGCAGTTATGAAATTGAATTGTTAACCTTTGATTTATTGTATTTAAAGAATGTTTCATAGTATTTCTTATATAAAAACAAAGTAATTTCTTGTTTTCTGGTTTATCACCTGTGTTTTCTTAAGATGAAGATGGTTTAGCTAATGTAAGTTGTGCTTTTCTCACTTGCTATCCTGAGTACTGTGATTTTCATTTACTTCTAGCGATACAGGATTACAATTAAGAGGACAAGATCTGAAAATGTCACAAACTATAAAACAATCAAAGAGCAGTATTTTAAAACAAAAAAATACTGGTGGTAGGTAGATTTTTCTTTGGTGAGGGAAGGTAGTATATTGTTACTGAGATTATTATTTATAAAAATTATAACTAAACTTAAAAGCAAAATACATCAAGTGTAATGATAGAAAATGAAATATTGCTTTTTTCAGATGAAAAAATTTAAATTAGAGGTAGTGTATATTGTTATTATTAATAGTTATGAAGCATGGTTCAGTCTAATTTATTTGTAGAATAGTTTGTCCTCAACTATTATTTTTGCTGAATTATTGCTGCTAATTTGCAGTTACTGAAAATACAGAAATGCGTTTAGGACAATGAATATTTAAGAAATTTAAATTTTATCATCAAATGTATCTTGGCCAAATTTCTTACATATAGCATAGTATTAAACTAGAAATAAGAATACACAGTAATATTTAAATGAAGTGATTCATTTTGGATCATTATTGAGTTTCAAGGGAACTTCAGTGTTCTAATTATCAGACTCGACGTGTAAGAACATATAGTTAATCTGCTTGTATGTGTAAAAACATGTGGTTAATCTGGTTAAGTCTGGTTAATCATATTAGGTAAGAAAAATATAAAGAATGTGTAAAACTAAATTTTTATAAAGTACTCTGCAAACCATTTTCATATTTCTGTTTACCAACTAATCCTCACAGAGATAGTTTAGTAGTTTAGGGGTTTTGATTATTCAACAAGTGGCCTTCATAATTTCTTTAAGTGTTTTTCTTTAAGTATATAATTTCTTTAAATATTTTTTAAAATTTCCTTTTCTCTAGTAAAGTCAGACCATGCATGCTACCTCTCTAGTGGCACTCTTAAATAAAAAGAAAATAATTTTCTCCTGTTATAAATTTATTTGTAATAAACAGATGAATCACATTTCTTAAAATCTGTTTTAGAGAGGGTAAGCTCTGACTAGGACCATGCCTTCAATGTGAAATATGTATATATCCTCCAAATCTTTACATATTAAGGATTTATACAGTCAACTGGTTAAACAGGAACATCTGGAGCCAGCCTGGCTGGGTTTTAATCCTAGCACCATCTTACTAAATGTTAAATAATATAACCTAATGAATAAATGACAATACAATTACAAATAGAGTTCATCTGATGACTTATAGACTCACAAAATTGCGAGAGAGCTCAGTTGTTGCTCAGTTGTTCCAAATCATGTCATTTGTTAATTTGTAATTAAGATCCAAAGGATGTAGCTACTGACAAAAAAATATGAGAATGTAGTTAATCCAAATCAAAACTTTCCTATTGCAATGCATATTTTCTGCCTCATTATCTTTTAATGTAATATTTTAAGTTAGCAAGTAATTTGAATTATAATGCACAAGGCTTGATAATTATTTTAAATACAAGAAAATCATGGTGTTTCATAAAGAAATCATGTAGGAAATTTCAAGATAATGGTTTAACCAATAATTTTGTTGATAGAAGATAAGACTCAAAGTGAACTTAGCAGTGGAGAGGCCACTTAACCTGTAGTACTTGTTATGTGTGAATTCAATAAAAATAATAACGAGCACTCATTATTGCCAAGTACTGTTCTGAGGGTACCATATACAATAAGTTATTTAATCCTTACAATAATCTTGTAAGGCCGATTCAAACTGTCATTACACTTATTTCGCAGATGAGAAAACTGGGGCATGGATAAAGCAACTTGCCTGAGGTCCCATAGCTAGTGAGAGGTAGGGTCAAGACTTACAAGCAGCCTAGCTCCAGAGTACCTTATGAGGGTCAAAGATTGTCTTATTACAAATAAATTCTAAGAAGAATCAACCTTTAATAAGTCTTTAATGTCTCTTAAATAGGTTTGTATATGAGTCTAATCATCAGTTCACAAAAATGAAAGTAGGGAAGTGATTAACAATAATCATAGGAATCTAACAATCCAAGTGGCTTGAGAATATTCATTCTTCTTGACAGTATAGATTCTTTACAATTTTGTGTGTTCCTTTGTATGTTTTAGGAATATGAAGTCATTACTATTCATAATCTGATACAGCTTTATCCTAAGGCCTCTCTTTAAAAACTACATTGCATCATAGTTTTTTGTGCAGTTGGTCTTTCTACTGTTACTAAACAGTAAGCAACCTACAGATTCACTATCACCAACCAGCCAGTTGATGAATCTTAAGCAAATCATCAAGCTTGTGATAACCTAAATTATAAAATGAGGGTGTTGAAATAGTTACATTCCAAATCTTCTGTAACACTCTGCATTTTATTTCTGCCTCGATCCTTGTAGGGCCTCTTCGGTGGCCGCGGTCATCGACCCCTTGACAGGAAGAGAGAAGAGGCTCCCAGCCTGAGGCCTGCCCCACTGCCCATCAGTGGGGGTGGCTATCGGGCTCGTCCAGCCAAAGCAGCTGCCAGTCAAAAGAAAGTAGAAAGAAAAGCCCCTGATGCTGGAGGCTGTCTTCACGCTGACCCAGACCTGGTGGGTGCACTGATGTTTCCTGCAGTGGTGGCTCTCTCACGCAGAGAAAGCCTGTAGTCATGGCAGTCTCCTAATGTTTCATTGACCTGCATTACCATCATTGTTATTTTGTCTGTTTATTTTAGAAATAAAATTCAAAACATAAACATATTGGGCCTTGGGTTAGGCTTTCTTTCTTGTTTTCTTTGGTCTGGGCCCAAAATTACAAATTAGGATATGTGGGTGCCACCTTTCCATTTGTATTTTTCCCACTACCTTTGTTCAGTTGGTAAAATTTTCATAGCCCAATTATATTTCTTCTGTGGTAAGGAATATTTTAAATCTCCACAAGAGTATGATGACGACTTTCAAATTTCTGGTCTTACAGAAAACCAAGTAGTAAGTTTTTATGTTGGCTAATCATACTGCTGAATTTTCCTGTGTGCTATTTTAACAAATGTCCACAACCCAAATCCTTCATCTAATGCCTGCTATTTTCTTTGTTTTTAGGGGGTGTTGTGTCCTACAGGATGTCAGTTGCAAGAAGCTTTGCTACAACAGGAAAGGCCAATCAGAAATAGTGTCGATGAGTTAAAGAACAGTGTGCAAATTGTTTCCCAGACCTCCTCTTCTACCTTTCAGTACATGTATTTGCTGAAAGACATGTGGCAAAAGAGGCAGAAGCAAGTAAAAGGTAGATATCCTTGTGCTTTCCATTTGATTTTCAGCTATAAAACTGGAACTGTTGACTGCCACGAGAATGCATGGCTGTGAGAAGATTAACATTTCTGGGTTAGTTAAATAGCATTCATACTGCTTTTGGGCACCTTCCCCTGCAACTTGCCAGATAAGCACTATTCAGCTCTTATTCCAAGTCTGGCATCAGCAAGTATGATTTTCTATGAGAAATTCCACTATGACTCCTTATTTTAAGTATACAAGAAACTTGTGACTCAGAAGATAATATTCACAGAGCGGGAAAAAAAAACGCTAGCTTTTAAAGTTTCAACATTTGAGGTTTTGAATGAGAGAGTTATCCATAATATATTAATTGTATTGTGGATAATGACAACTAACCTGTGAATCTTGAGGTCAGAATGTTGAGTGCTGGTGACTTGGTGGTTAGAAAATAGCTAGTGCATGAGCCTGGCACAGGCATCTCAGTGAGTAGCATACCCACAGTTGGAAATTTTTCAAAGAAATCAAAGAAATCTTGAGATCTTATAAATTTCAAGGTTCTGCTATACTTACATGAAATGGATAAATAAATCAAGCATATCCAATCTATAAGATTGAACTTCTCAGATGGAAGACCTCAATAGTGCTTTCTCCTTTTCCCTCACCAAAGAAATAAACAACCTATTTCATTTATTACTGGACACAATCTTTAGCTTTTACCTATGGTAAATTACTAGTATGGTAGTTAGGATATATGTTCATTTGTATATGTCATGGGCCAAATGATTTCCTATAAATATGACTATATATCATAACTGCTTGGTGGTAGCTCAGTGTTTATTAGTTTATTCTCAGAAAATCAAAATTGTATAGCCAAATACATTAGTTTTATGAGGCAAAAATGCTGACTATTTCTATATAATTTCATTTTTCCAGATAATGAAAATGTAGTAAATGAGTACTCCTCAGACCTGGAAAAGCACCAATTATATATAGATGAGACTGTGAATAGTAATATCCCAACTAATCTTCGTGTGCTTCGTTCAATCCTGGAAAACCTGAGAAGCAAAATACAAAAGTTAGAATCTGATGTCTCAGCTCAAATGGAATATTGTCGCACCCCATGCACTGTCAGTTGCAATATTCCTGTGGTGTCTGGCAAAGGTAACTGATTCATAAACATATTTCTAGAGAGTTCCAGAAGAACTCACACACCAAAAATAAGAGAACAACAACAATAAAAATGTTGAGTGGATTTTCCCAACAGATCATAATGACGCTACAGTACATCACAAAAATATCCTTAGCCGGTTGTGTTTTGGCCCAGCCTGGCGCATTTACTGGTTTTGATGAGCACAACGGGGCACAGGATAATAATGGTGGTAGTCCCAGGGGTGGCTGATGTGTGCATCTGCGTACTGGCTTGAACAGATGGCAGAACTGCAGATAGATATAGAAGTTTCTCAGTCTTGTGTGTTCTGGAAGCTTATGGATATTTCAGGACACAAAAGGTGGAGAAGAGCTTTTTACATCCTCTTAGCAGATAAACATCCTCAAAACTGGGCTGGATTTACGAAAGTAAAATGAAAATCTAATATTTGTTATATTATTCTCAAAGGTCTGTAATAAAACATTCCTTAGTAACTTATGTAATACTATCTTAAAGAATTGGTGACTAAAGACAAAGTAACTATGTAAAGACAAAGTAATTATGTCATAAGCCCCTGAACATAATGTTGTCTTATGTTTGCAGAATGTGAGGAAATTATCAGGAAAGGTGGTGAAACATCTGAAATGTATCTCATTCAACCCGACAGTTCTGTCAAACCATATAGAGTATACTGTGATATGAACACAGAAAATGGAGGTAAGTTTTCGACAGTTGTTGACCTGTTGATCTATAATTATTTGGATGACATAAAATGCCAGGAAATAAGGCCAGGTATGGTGGCTCATGCCTGTAATTCCAGCACTTTGGGAGGCCAAAGTAGGCTGATCGGTTGAGCCTAGGAGTTTGAAACTAGCCTCAGCAACATAATGAGACCATGAGTCTACAAAAAAAAAAAAAAAAAAAAAAAAAAAAAAAAAAAAAATTCAGCTGGGTTGATAGTATGTGCCTGTAGTCCCAGCTATCCAGGAGACTGAGATAGGAGGATCACCTGAGCCCACAACCTGGAGGCTTAATCATGCTACTGCACTCTAGCCTGGGTAACAGAGGATAGTGAGATCCTGCTCAAAAAAAAAAAAAAAATTAATTGAAAAGCCGGGAAACAAGACTTAGCTCTAATATCTGACAGAGCTGACAATGAGTAATTTGATTTGGAATTCAACCTGATATTTAAAAAGTTATAAAATATCTATAATTCACGATTTGGGGTAAGATAAAGCACTTGTAGTTTTCAAAGATTTTACAAGTTTTCCTCTCATATTTATTTCCTTATTGTATCTATTCTAGAGCACCAAATATATAATAAATGGAATGGACAGGGGATTCAGATATTCTTTTCAAAGTGACATTATTTGCTGTTGGTTAATATATGCTCTTTTTGTTTCTGTCAACCAAAGGATGGACAGTGATTCAGAACCGTCAAGATGGTAGCGTTGACTTTGGCAGGAAATGGAATCCATATAAACAGGGATTTGGAAATATTGCAACCAACACAGATGGGAAGAATTACTGTGGCCTACCAGGTAACAAACAAGCATGCAAAATAAAATCATTCTATTTGAAATGAGGTTTTTTTTTTCATTAAAAAACATACATTGTTGGAAGCCTGTTTTAGGCAGTTAAGAGGAGTTTCCTGACAAAAATGTGGAAGCTAAAGATAAGGGAAGAAAGGCAGTGTTTAGTTTCCCCAAATTTTATTTTTGGTGAGATTTTATTTTGTTTTTCTTTTAGGTGAGTATTGGCTTGGAAATGATAAAATTAGCCAGCTTACCAGGATGGGACCCACAGAACTTTTGATTGAAATGGAGGACTGGAAAGGAGATAAAGTAAAGGCTCACTATGGAGGATTCACTGTACAGAATGAGGCCAACAAATACCAGATCTCAGTGAACAAATATAGAGGAACAGCCGGCAATGCCCTCATGGATGGAGCATCTCAGCTGATGGGAGTAAACAGGACCATGACCATTCACAATGGCATGTTCTTCAGCACATATGACAGAGACAATGACGGCTGGTATGTGTGGCACTCTTTGCTCCTGCTTAAAAAATCCCACTAATATTACTACTCCGAATCATTAACAATGTTATAAATAGCTACCGTTTCCTAGGCACTTACTGTCAGCCACTGTACTAAGCTCTTTATGCATCACTCTAAAGCATTTCAACTATAACGTAGACATTATTATTCTTATTTTACAGATGAGGTTTAGAGAGATTACATGACTTGTCCAATGTCACACAACTACCCAGAGATAGAACTAGAATTTGAGCACAGTTACTTTCTGAGTAATGAGCATTTAGATAAATACCTACATCTCTATATTCTAATGTGTATGTGAAAACTTTCATTTTCATTTCCAGGGTTCTCGATACTAAGGGAAGTAAAAGCTATTATTCCAATATAAAGTAACCAATGCAGTCCCTAGATGGATTGGCCACAAAGGCCCAGTTCTCTCTCTTTCTTGCTATAGGGCACAGGAGGTCTTTGGTGTATTAGTGTGACTCTATGTGTAGCACCCAAAGGAAAGAGTACTGTGCACACGAGTGTAGCACTCTTTTATGGGTAATCTGCAAAAAGTAACTTGACCACTGAGTTCTGTTTCTAATAACCCCAAACACATTTTCTTTCAGGCTAACAGCAGATCCCAGGAAACAGTGTTCTAAAGAAGATGGTGGTGGATGGTGGTATAATAGGTGTCACGCAGCCAATCCAAATGGCAGATACTACTGGGGTGGACAATATACCTGGGACATGGCAAAGCATGGCACAGATGATGGTGTAGTATGGATGAATTGGAAGGGGTCATGGTACTCAATGAAGAAGATGAGTATGAAGATCAGGCCCTTCTTCCCACAGCAATAGTCCCCAATACGTACATTTTTGCTCTTCTACATGTGACAACATTTTTGTACATTATGTTATTGTAATTTACTTTAATACATTATATTCCTCTAAAACTCTCAAGCAGATGTGAGTGTGACTTTTTGAAAAAAGTATAGGATAAATTACATTAAAAATAGCACATTATTTTCTTTTGTATTCTTCATTTCTCTTGCTCACCAAGAGTATAGTTTTGAGAGTCAGTGTTCATAATTTCAATTCTAGTTGACTGTGAGAAGTTTCAAATAAGGAAGAGGGATTTTTTTTATCCTTGTTGTAGGAAAACCATGAGGGAAAGGAACAACTGATGTTTAAAAGTCCACTTTTAAAACTACATTTATTTATGTAGGATCTGTCAAAGAAAACTTCCAAAAAGATTAATTAATTAAACCAGACTCTGTTGCAATAAGTTAATGTTTCCTTGTTTTGTAATCCACACATTCAGTGAGTTAGGCTTTGCACTCGTAAGGAAGGAGAAGTGTTCACAACCTAAAACATAATAAACTGGTCTTGAATATTTGAAGATTTAAAATCTGACTCTAGGCCGGGCACGGTGGCTCATGACTATAATCTCAGCACTTTGAGAGGCAGAGGCAGGCAGATCACGAAGTCAGGAGTTCATGACCAGCCTGACCAATATGGTAAAATCCCGTCTCTACTAAAAATACAAAAATTAGCCGGGCATGGTGGCATGTGCCTGTAGTCCCAACTACTTGGGAGACTGAGGCAGGAGAATTGCTTGAACCTAGGAGGCGGAGGTTGCATTGGACAAGATCGCGACACTGCACTCCAGCCTGGGCTACAGAGTGAGACTCTGTCTCAAAAAAAAAAAAAAAAAAGAAGACTCTACTCTACCATGGAAAAGCCACCACTCTGCCACTTAAATAGACATCGGGATCAGAGATTCCAAGAGGATAATCTGGATCAAGTCTTCACCAAGTGTTGTTTAAGGGAAATAATGAAATAGGGAGCAGAATGTGCTTATTGCCCATAGAAATGAGGTCTATTCTTGTCCTCAGTTAGGCGGGTTTTTTTGTTTGTTTGTTTTTTTGTTTTTTTACATAGTTATACCAGAACTAAAAGTGGGTTTTCTGTTCTTTCTAATTCTCCCTATGAAATGGGCATATCATCTCAACACTTCATTCCAACTGCCCATGGGCAACCCTATGACCCTAGGTCCTTCACCCCTAGTGTATCATCATTGCCAGCCATTTTTATGGTACTTATTGTTCTTAAGCTTATCCTCTTAATCTTTGCATGTAAGCAAAACTCATTAATTTATATCTTGGAAATGGTACTCCTCTCTTTGATTGCTTATCAAATCCAACTTTAACTTTTGACCTGGTTTCTCTGCCACAAATTCTGTCCCACTGGAGCCTGACTCACCTACCGCTTTGCCATCACATTTAATAGAAAACTCTCATCAAGTTACTTTCCTGCTTAACATTGGCTCCTTGCTATCTATATCCAAATTTCTTAAATTCAAATTTTTCAGTTGGAGGTAAAAATGGTCCCAGTACCATTTCCTGTTCCCTTCACTATAACCTATATTTTTGTCACAATACGTTTTTCACCATTCCAGGACAGGTCAGGCCCTTTAAAAATTTCAACAGCTTATTGAGATATAATCGATATAAAAAAATCCTGCACATGTGTTGTGCTGGAGTCCTGTTGATTCCAACAGGGATGGCATCGTGTCCAAGAAGAGACCCGGAACCAGTGAATGGGCATAGGGTTTATTCAGGACTTAAATACAGATGTGGTCCAGTGGCAGTGGGCTGGACAGGACCACTACTATTTGTAAAGAGTATGCAGTTTATATAACATTTCTACTTAGCACTCTCCATCTAGCAACCTCCATTTAGCCCAAAATAAAAGACCTTGGTTCCTTGCACGTACTGCGTTCCAAGGGACAGGCAGGGAGTTCAAGTGTCCTTCACAGATAAGAAGTGAATCTCTCTGGGTTGGCCATTCCCAGATTCCTTAGTTTAGGACTCTGAACACATATTCTTCTTAGACCATACAGTCATTCTCAGAGTATTCTTGAGTTATTGCCATCAGGTGCATCTACCATACAAAGTGTTAAACATATACAAGTTTATGATTTTGGAAATACACACACGCCCACGATATCATCGGCACAGTCAAGATATTAAATATATCCATCACCTCCAAAAATTTCCTTATGTTCATTTATTTTAGTTTTTCATGGTAGGAATGTTTAATATGAAATATTATCAACAAATTTTTAAGTGTACAATACTGTATTATTAATTTTAGGCACTATGTTTTACAGCAGATCTGTAGAACATATTCATGTAGTATAAATGAAATTTTATCTCCATTTCCCCCTACCTCCCATCCCCTGGCAACTACCATTCTATTTTCTGCTTTGACTGTTTCAGATACCTCATGTAAGTGAAATCATACAGTATCCTTTCGCACTGTTGTTAGGGATGTAAAACGGTGCAGCCACTATGGGAAGAAATGTGGAGGCCCTTAAAAAATTAGAAAAAAATTATAATTACCATATGATCCAGCAATCTCACTTCTGGGTATATATCCAAAAGAATTGATACCAGAATCTGGAAGCAATATTTGTACATCTATGTTCATTGCAACATTATTCTCAATGTTCAGGTCCTTTTATATGATGCCCTCTTTGCAGCAATGTCTTCCTCTCAACACCATGTGACAAACTGCTACTTGTTTTTTTTTTTTTTTTTTTTTTTTGTTGTTTTTTATTATTATTGTACTTTAAGTTCTAGGGCACATGTGCATAACGTGCAGGTTTGTTACATATATATACTTGTGCCATGTTGGCATGCTGCACCCATCAACTCGTCAGCACCCATCAACTTGTCATTTACATCAGGTATAACTCCCAATGCCATCCTTCCCGTCTCCCCCTTCCCATGATAGGCCCCAGTGTATGATGTTCCCCTTCCCGAGTCCAGGTGATCTCATTGTTCAGTTCCCACCTATGAGTGAGAACATGCAGTGTTTGGTTTTCTTTTCTTGCGATAGTTTGCTGAGAATGATGGTTTCCAGTTGCATCCATGTCCTTACAAAGGACACAAACTCATCCTTTTTTATGGCTGCATAGTATTCCATGGTGTGTATGTGCCATATTTTCTTAATCCAGTCTGTCACTGATGGACATTTGGGTTGATTCAAAGTCTTTGCTATTTGTTTTTAAACCTCGCTTTAACTGTCACCGCCCAGAGAAGACTTTCTAAAACCCATGGGCAAATTTTGTTACTTTTTGACAATGAATGCCTGAGGCCTATCTGTTTGGTATAACGCTTTCCTTCACTAACACTGAGCTCTTATCCAGCTTTGATTCCAGAATCATCAGCCTGTCAGAATGGCTAATTTTCATCCAGCATTTGTGAATGCTAGATGGTTAAATCCATTGATGTTCAAAGTCTTGAATATCCTCCTTTTTAAATGTAGAACCCATTTTCCGATAAAGCCGCAAACAGAAACTTAATATGCAAAATTCTTGAATATGGAACTTTTGGGGCAATACTGAGAGTCACAAAAGTTCACAGAATGCAAGATGGGGGTTGGGAGGACTGCAGTCCTCAGACTTTTGCTCACTCCTTACGTGTTCACAGAGGATCAAAGGAATCCTTAGAACTTGAAGTAATGCCATAGAAGAAAAACCACTAAAGTAGGTAATCTGATGGTCAATTCTTAGTTAATGTACAGATAGAAAAAATGCAGAGACCACTCCCAGGTAATATGTAAGTCTATCTAGAAAGAAATGCACTTTCTTGGCTGGGTACAGTGGCTGCCATCTGCAAACCCAGCACTTTGCCAGGATGAGGTGGGAAGATTGCTTCAGGCCAGGAGTTAGAAGCCAGCCTGGCAACATAGTAAGACCCTGTGTCTACTATAAAACTTGTAAAAACAAACGAAAATACAATAACAAAAAAGAAATGCACTTTCTTAAGGCGTCATTTGGTAAGAAATGTTGTGTGTCTGATTTTGCCCATTCAGGCATCACGATTTTGAATATAATAAAAAAGGTAGCTTCCCCTAGTTAGAATATATAAAACAGTATTATATAACTCATGATTTTAAGATAATAGAAAGATAGCTGAAAGTTTTTAATCCCACACTCTGGCATGAGAACTATTTTTTATATATATATATATGTGTGTGTGTGTATGTGTGTGTGTATATATATGTAATTATACAATTAGGACTGAAAGTCTGCTACAAACTATAATGGATATATGCACTTGGGCCATAAGCCTCTAGTTCCTCTTTATTTATGAATCAAGAGAAACAGCTAACTCAGGGATTGTTTTTAAACTGACTACAGATTCCCACCATGGGGCAAAAAGATGGGTGATGTGACACATCACCAGCTGCAGTAGCTCAGCTCACATTTCTGTTTAAGCATTACACTCTTAATATCCTGTATGCTGATCATTTAAACCTGCTGACACCTATAATCCCAGCACTTTGGGAGGCCGAGGTGGGCGGATCATGAGGTCAGGAAATTGAGACCATCCTGGCAAACATGGTGAAACCGAAACCCTGTCTCTAGTAAAAATACAAAAATTATCTGGGTGTGGTGGTGTGCACCTGTAATCCCAGCTACTCGGGAGGCTGAGGCAGAAGAATCATTTGAACCCAGAAGGCGGAGGTTGCAGTAAGCTGAGATCACACCACTGCCCTCCAGCCTGTGTGACAGACTGAGACTCCATCTCAAAGGAAAAAAAAATGCAGATTTCTTGGTACTAACCTAGGTTTATTACATCAGATTCTCTACAGGGAAAGAGCCTGAGTCTCCATTTTAAAATAGATGTCCCTGAGAGTTACTGATCACTGGTTGGGTTTCAGAGTTACTGATAGAGGCCACATTTGTATTTACCCGAGACTCCCTTGATATTTCTTACCCAGTATCCTTTTCACTCAAATGGTGACCATGAGGCAATATTTTGAGCAAATAGTCATCCTCAAAGTTATCCTGAATAACTTCATAGGTGACCACTGTCTGTGATTAGGACTGGACTTGGGTTTAATATGTCTCCAAATGCTAGAATCACTATTTCCACTCTACTGCTGTTAGTCTCTGGTGATTCTCTAGCTTGGACTTCAAATTCTCTTGAAGTATAGAAAAGAATTACAGATGCTACCTCTCATATGTACGTAGAGCTGACACTTCAGTTTTGGAATTCCATCCTCCCCCTCACTGTTGCATGTGATCTGATGCTCTTGCTTGAACTTCTTGTGGTGTGCAGTTCTGCACCAAATAGCAATGAATTGGTACATAGTAATGCATACGCATGGAAAGTGGAATCAGGCTGGGTTTTTGTTTGTTTGTTTGTTTGTTTGTTTGTTTCCTTTCGAGACAGAGTTTTGTTCTAGCTGCCCAGGCTGGAGTACAATGAC